CCAAGAAAATCGATGTATAGCCTCCATCGGTAGTTCGACCGGTTGGTTTGCTGAAATAGGTCATGCCGTTTGGAGAGGGCTGCGATGGAAAAGCGGAATAAAATCCACCCGTATCGGAATTCGAGTCACCGAAATTGAAGATGGCTTCGTAAGCACATTTTGCGTAGCTTGAAGGAGAAAACGTCAGCAATAAAACCATCGGAAAAACGAGGATTTGCGCCATTTTTTTTTTGTTTGTTGAAGTAATCGAAGAGGTGGTGTGAAAGATTGAAACGACGAGGTGGTTTATATAAGGGCCATTTTCACCAAGGAATTAAAAGACACGAGGACAAGAATTTAGGCGAGTAGATCAGAACGTACGACCTAACCGTGTTTAAGGATGTCGATACAAATGTTTCGAACTAGAAAAGTGGTTGTTCTATTAATGAATTTTTCGCAACGAAAATATGACATAATTCTTGTTACATTTTATTTAATGAGAAAATTAAATCAACAGTTGAATCTGCAACTACTATGACATAATAATATGGTTATGAACAAAGGGACAAGGAGTATAAGTGAAGAGATGAAGAAAGAGAAATAAAACTTTCAATCCAAATTAAATAATTATTATATCAGATATCTTCGAATTTTTCTCGAGAATATATTTCTGCAATTAAGCTTGTTAAGTCAGAACTTCGTAGTCGGATATGGGATTAAGTGTTGAATGATTTTTTTGTCTCGTACGTTGAAAATGTGAACAGAAACTGAAACGAAAACGAGAAATTTACGACTATTGTTTAATAAATATTTGTAGTTTCTACATTTCTTATTATTTGTAGTTTCCGTCACTTTTACGGTTTAATAAATATTTTCCGACACCGTCAAAAATTTTCCGGTATCGCGACGGCCTATCTTTTTTCCCTATTTCCTTGTAAAGCCAATCACTCATATCATCAAATGCTGGAGCATCGCCACCAATGGCAGAAGTTGTTGTATTTCATCCATCGAACAAAGCAGTGGGTATGAAAAGCATGTCCGCACGCGGGGACCACCGATATCTGATCACCGATATTCGGGCCCCGCGTACATATCCTACAAACCGGCATCAACCCTAATCCTTGGTCAACATTCACAACTCTAGTCTTCGATAACATTAAAATATCACAACTCTAGTCCACCATTCCCGCATAAAGTTCTTCGATCGATTCAAATTGGAAAAGAATTTGAAAACAAAATATTGAATCAAACCAATGTATTTAACATCCCCATTTGGTAATAAAATAAACGAAGACGGCCAAAATTCGAGTAGAGCAATCCTTTGAGTATGTGCAACGTCCACTATATGCACGATTTAATTTGCCGGAACAAACGCAGTCTGTCGTTCTTGATTAATGCACCATGGCCGTCGGATTGTAGCCACTCTCTTAAATTAATTCCAAAATCGGAAAATTCGGGAGTTTTGGAACCGACACTATCTGTCGTTTTCTGCGTATGTTGTCCGAGGAAAAACTTGGAGAAACTAGAAGAATGGAGAGTTTTATACCGACTACTCGAATTTGATACCGACGGGTGTTTATCATTATTATTTTCGTTGTACACGAAATCTTCATCTCCGATTTTGTTCAAATCAAAATCATTTACAATCTTTAAAGTGGTTACGGTTGAATTCCCGTTACTAGTAGTGGTAGAAATATTACGATTATTCGTCGATATTTCTGCATTTTTAGCTGCCTCGTTTGCCTCGTATGAATGCTCCATTGCAAATTACCTCAAACACAAGTATGTTTTTTCTGTTTTCTGCAAGGATGGATCATGATTGAATGATTTATTTGATTTTCTAATACTATATATATTAACAACATTCATAAACCATAAACTTCAAAAAACAAATAAAAATAATTCAAGTGATTTAATTAGAATTCAAGATCAAATATTTATTTTTGTAAATAAATTAGAACTAACATGCAAAAGCAAAATCAAATTAAACAAAATACTTACTGAATACATGAATCCCATTTCCTTGAGCAAACTGCAAATTAGATGATCGAAACAGCCCAAATTAATTAACAATCATAAATGTAAGAACATAACAATGTCATTAAAGGATCTCCAATTCCAAATAACCAATGTCATTTTAAAGTATAAAAGTAGAGGAGTTACGTTAGACACGGCCACGGGCCGGTTTTGGGCCCGGAACCGGCCCGTTGACGGCCCAAACCGGCCCGTTGATCGTGTGAACCGGCCCAAAACCGTGAACCGCCGGGCCGGCCCGGCGGTTCACCCGGATTTAAAAAAAAAAAAAATTCAAAAAAAATCAAAAAAAAGCAAATAACGGCTAGTGAACCGGCCCGAACCGGCCCGGGTGAACCGGCCGTTATTTACTTTTTTTTTGAATTTTCCCCCCCCCCCAATTTTTCCTATAAATACCCTCACACCCCAATTTTTCCTATAATTTACTTATTCATCAAATATTTCAAACTTGTGCTTCTAAATTGACTTTTCATTTATTTCCTTTTCCTTTATCTATTTAAAAGTATTTCTTTTAATTTACTTATTCATTAAATATTTCAAACAAAAAAAAAAAACAAAAAAACAAAAAAAAAAAATTCAAAATTTCCGGGCCGACCTGGAACCGGCCCGGATAGGCACGTGAACCGGCCCGAACCGGCGGGCCGACCCGGCCCGGTCAACCGTGCACGCCACGGGCCGGTTCTGGTTCCGGTTCCGGAAAATGTGAACCGTGAACCGGTCTGAACCGGCCCGAACCGGCCCGTGGCCGTGTCTAAGTCACGTGACCACTCTTCCATAAGTTGGTGTACTCAACACAACTTTAAGAATCAAATTTTTTTTATACCATTTTAGGAAAACCTAATTTGTTTCAAGTTTTTACCACTACATATGCAGCCCAACAACGACAACATTATCTTCAATGTGAACAATATAAGTTTATGCATTTTTTCTCACATTACTAATACCGTTGATTACGAATATGGATGCTCGAACCATCGCTAGAGTGACGAGGTTCGAGCAGAGCAGACACGTGAGAAGAGATCTCTGGGGAGTCGTCCACCCATTTGCGCGGGTGATTATCGGACGATTGTCGATGATGTTTTTATTTAGGTAGGATACGGTGGAGATGGAGTAGCTGCAAGAGGAAGAGAAGCCACCACAGTAAGTAAAAAAACAATTTTAATTTTACTTTTCTAATTTATTACATTATTATTATTTTTATTTTTATTTAGAAACGATATGGTGGAGATGGAGCAGAACATGTATCTGCAAGAGGAAGGAAGATGTTGAGAAGTGGCGCCGTGATTTTTTTTCTTATTTTTTTAGTTATCAACTCCTAAAAGCGACTAATTTGTGCCGATTAATTGCCGGTTTTTTTTTTCTAGAATTAAACTTGGAATTAATTTGTGCCGTTTTTCTATTTTTATTATCTCAATTAATCTTTGCCGTTTTTCTATTTTCTATTTAATTTGTGCCGGTTTTTTTTACCAATCTCCCCTTTCGTAGTGCTATGGTCAATTGGTCATCCACCTGGCTTGTTGGCTTGTTATACTGGGCGATGTAGATTGTGTAGAGTGCTCTTCCGAATATATGCATGCGGTTCTGGAAGATTTGTTTCTCGTATCAACAAATATTAAAAAAAAATGGACATTTATATACATATATATATATATATATATATATATATATATATATATATGGATATAATTATTATTACCTTGTGATTTGGATTCTTCAACTGTTGCCTTCAATTGCTTCATTTGGTTGATTTGAACAGCCAAATAAAAAGGGCTAACTCCCGTGTCGAATAAGAACGTGTTTTGCTGCAATACAGGGGATGCTGCCTTCCATCGGTAGTTCGACCAGTTGGTTTGCTGAAATACGTCACTTTTACGGTTTAATAAATATTTTCCGACACCGTCAAAAATTTTCCGGTATCGCGACGGCCTATGTTTTTTCCCAATTTCCTTGTAAAGCCAATCACTCATATCATCAAATGCTGGAGCATCGCCACCAATGGCAGAAGTTGTTGTATTTCATCCATCGAACAAAGCAGTGGGTATGAAAAGCATGTCCGCACGCGGGGACCACCGATATCTGATCACCGATATTCGGGCCCCGCGTACATATCCTACAAACCGGCATCAACCCTAATCCTTGGTCAACATTCACAACCCTAGTCTTCGATAACATTAAAATATCACAACTCTAGTCCACCATTGCCGCAGAAAGTTCTTCGATCGATTCAAATTGGACAAGAATTTGAAAACAAAATATTGAATCAAACCAATGTATTTAACATCCCCATTTGGTAATAAAATAAACGAAGACGGCCAAAATTCGAGTAGAGCAATCCTTTGAGTATGTGCAACGTCCACTATATGCACGATTTAATTTGCCGGAACAAACGCAGTCTGTCGTTCTTGATTAATGCACCATGACCGTCGGATTGTAGCCACTCTCTTAAATTAATTCCAAAATCGGAAAATTCGGGAGTTTTGGAACCGACACTATCTGTCGTTTTCTACGTATGTTGTGCGAGGAAAAACTTGGAGAAACTAGAAGAATGGAGAGTTTTATACCGACAACTAGAATTTGATAACGACGGGTGTTTATCATTATTATTTTCGTCGTACACAAAATCTTCATCTCCGAATTTGTTCAAGTCAAAATCATTTACAATCTTTAAAGTGGTTACGGTTGAATTCCCGTTACTAGTAGTGGTAGAAATATAACGATTATTCGTCGATATTTCTGCATTTTTAGCTGCCTCGTTTGCCTCGTATGAATGCTCCATTGCAAATTACCTCAAACACAAGTCTGTTTTTTCTGTTTTCTGCAAGGATGGATCATGATTGAATGATTTATTTTATTTTCTAATACTATATATATTAACAACATTCATAAACCATAAACTTCAAAAAACAAATAAAAAATAATTCAAGTGTTTTAATTAGAATTCAAGATCAAATATTTATTTTTGTAAATAAATTAGAACTAACATGCAAAAGCAAAATCAAATTAAACAAAATACTTACTCAATACATGAATCCCATTTCCTTAAGCAAACTGCAAATTAAATTATCGAAACAGCCCAAATTAATTAACAATCATAAATATAAGAACATAACAATGTCATTAAAGGATCTCCAATTCCAAATAACCAATGTCATTTTAAAGTATAAAAGTAGAGGAGTCACGTGACCACTCTTCCATAATTTGGTGTACTCAACACAACTTTAAGAATCAATTTTTTTTTATACCATTTCAGGAAAACCTAATTTGTTTCAAGTTTTCACCACTACATGCATATGCAGCCCAACAACGACAACATTATCTTCAATGTGAACAATATAAGTTTATGCATGTTTTCTCACATTACTAATACCGTTGATTACGAATATGGATGCTCGAACCATCGCTGGAGTGACGAGGTTCGAGCAGAGCAGACACGTGAGAAGAGATCTCTGGGGAGTCGTCCACCCATTTGCGCGGGTGATTATCGGACGATGGTCGATGATGTTTTAATTTAGGTAGGATACGGTGGTGATGGAGTAGCTGCAAGAGGAAGAGAAGCCACCACAGTAAGTAAAAAAACAATTTTAATTTTACTTTTCTAATTTATTACATTATTATTATTTTTATTTTTATTTAGATACGATATGGTGGAGATGGAGCAGAACATGTATCTGCAAGAGGAAGGAAGATGTTGAGAAGTGGCGCCGTGATTTTTTTTCTTATTTTTTTAGTTATCAACTCCTAAAAGCGACTAATTTGTGCCGATTAATTGCCGGTTTTTTTTTCTACAATTAAACTTGGAATTATTTGTGCCGTTTTTCTATTTTTATTATCTCAATTATCTTTGCCGTTTTTCTATTTTCTATTTAATTTGTGCCGGTTTTTTTTACCAATCTCCCCTTTCGTAGTGCTATGGTCAATTGGTCATCCACCTGGCTTGTTGGCTTGTTATACTGGGCGATGTAGATTGTGTAGAGTGCTCTTCCGAATATATGCATGCGGTTCTGGAAGATTTGTTTCTCGTATCAACAAATATTAAAAAAAAATGGACATTTATATACATATATATATATATATATATATATATATATATATATATATGGATATAATTATTATTACCTTGTGATTTGGATTCTTCAACTGTTGCCTTCAATTGCTTCATTTGGTTGATTTGAACAGCCAAATAAAAAGGGCTAACTCCCGTGTCGAATAAGAACGTGTTTTGCTGCAATACAGGGGATGCTGCCTTCCATCGGTAGTTCGACCAGTTGGTTTGCTGAAATACGTCACTTTTACGGTTTAATAAATATTTTCCGACACCGTCAAAAATTTTCCGGTATCGCGACGGCCTATGTTTTTTCCCAATTTCCTTGTAAAGCCAATCACTCATATCATCAAATGCTGGAGCATCGCCACCAATGGCAGAAGTTGTTGTATTTCATCCATCGAACAAAGCAGTGGGTATGAAAAGCATGTCCGCACGCGGGGACCACCGATATCTGATCACCGATATTCGGGCCCCGCGTACATATCCTACAACCGGCATCAACCCTAATCCTTGGTCAACATTCACAACCCTAGTCTTCGATAACATTAAAATATCACAACTCTTAGTCCACATTGCCGCAGAAAGTTCTTCGATCGATTTCAATTGGACAAGAATTTAAAACAAAATATTGA